GGAGGAGGAGGAGAAGGAGGAGGAGGAGGAGGAGGAGGAGGAGGAGGAGGGGGAGGAGGCCCTGGGCGTCCTGGGGCGATTGCTGCCATTCCGTTCTTTCTGCAGCAAGGGGGCACTGTTTGCCGCCGCCGTTGACCCTGCGTCGCGCGTGCGGCGGCGACGCGTCGCGCCGTACGCGTCGCTCGCCGCGCACGCGCGCGAGCACCTCCTCCTCCTGAGCCTCCTCCATTCCTTCTTCTTATAGATAACTCCTCCCTGTCGCACCCCGAGGCCAGTTTTTAGGTCTGGCCGGGCATTTCGCCTGAGACTTCCTCACCATTTATGGCTCTGAAGCTGAAAAAGTGACAAGAGTTTCACAGATGGAGGGCGGGTCGCTTTCAAAATGTGGCTCTCGCTTTAGCGCCGCGCACACTCGTTTTCAACATTTGCAAGAATTTAGCGGATTGGGGGCGGGTGGTTTTCAAAATCTGGTTCTCGCCTTAGCGCCGCGTACATTCGTTGTAAACATTGGCAAGAGTTTCATTGGTTCCCATGGTCAACGTTCCAGAAATGGTGTTTTGGAAGGATCCAGGATTATGCGGGCGCAACAGTTATGTTGATTCGCTGTGCTGAAGTCAAAAAATGGCGTTCTGGCACGATTCTGTATCGTCAAGACGCAGCAGTCAGGTTTATACGTGGTGTTCAAATCCCGAGAACAATGTTTTGGCACGCGTCAGGATCTTCAAACTGTTATCTTCCAGCGAGGCAGTTCCGTCAATGGAAATGAGCCTTTGTATGGGCCTATTACAAGGGAGCTTGGAGGGAGGGTTAGTTCCAGCATCGTTGATGACTTTTGGGTTTCCACTGGTCCTCCTCCTCCTCGCGCGTAGGCCCCTGGCCGCGTCTGCTGGCACTCCCGTCGGGCTGTGCTCGGGCATCCTTCTCCTTGTCGGGCTGGAGCCCGAGTCGCCTAGCCGTGCCTGCACGCTAGTCGCCGCGCCTGTTGAAAACTCAGCCTCCTCCTCATCGCCCTCATCGTGCTCGTCCTTGCTGGAGGCTGCCCCGTCGCCGCCGCCGCCGCCGCCAGTTCCGCCGTGCATGCGCCACCGCCGTCTGGATCTGGATCTGTCGTCTCGCCGTTGTCGTTCGTACTCGGGCCCGCTCGCTCCTCCTGCTCGTCCTCGCTTCCGTCCTCGTTGTCGTCCTCCTTGTCCCCCTCTCGGCGGCGAGCCTGGGGTGGAAGGGAGAAGGGGCGGGCCTTTTCAGAAGGCGCGGAAGTCAAGGCCTCCTGAGAAGTTGCCCAAGTCTTCCCCGAAGATGCAGACGCTCCCCCGGCCTCGTTCCTCGTTCCGGCTCGGTGTGCGCCCCGGGTGCGGTGACGTCTACCTGGCCGCCGCGAGCGGTGATGGCACCCTCGAGGGGAAGCGGATTTGGCTCTTGCCCCTGGACAGGCTCTCTCGGGTCGGCGGCGAGCCTGGGGGGGAAGTGCCTTAAGGGGCGGGCCCTCTCCGAAGGCTCGGAAGTCCTCCAGCCTCCTGAGAAGGGTTCTCTCAGCCTTCCACGAAGACACAGAAACCCTTTCGGAGTGCTGAAGGGGTTCCGAGGAGCCCCGCCACCTTCTGAGAAGGCCTTCTCCCTCTCGTTTCGCCCTCTCGCTCGCCGCCGATCGGGGGCAGTGCACTCCTCCTCCCGCGCTCTGGCGCTCTGCGCAGTTCTGCCGGTGATGAGATCCAGACCCGCTCGACTCCCACCGCCTACCAGCGCGGGAGGTGGGCCCAGGCTTCCGGGAGGTCCCCTGGCAGTGGTTTCGAAAAGGGGCCTGGGACACTGCCACTGCAGTCTCCCAGACCACTATATGCCCTCCTCCTCCTCCCCCTCCTCCTCCTCCTCCTCCTCGAGCAGGAGGAGGAGGAGGAGGAGGAGAAGAAGGAGGAGGAGGAGGAGGAGGAGGAGGATGTGGAGGAATGTTCGGTGGAGGGCTTCGCACGCAACCGCTACAGGGTTGGGCTTCTATCGGCGGCGAGCGAGGGGGTGAAGTGAGAACGAAACGGCCTTCTCAGAACCCCGAAGGCACAGAAAACTTCTCAGAAGGCCGGAGCGCTTCTGAGAAGTCCCGCCGCCTTCTGAGAAGTTATCCTCCTTCTCACTTCCCCCCTCGCTCGCCGCCGATTCCAGGAGGTCCCTGGCAGTTGCTTCGAACGGGGGTCTGGGAGACTATCCGCTCAAGCCCCTGGAGCACCCTGAGACCTTGGCCTCCCAGACGGGGTCTGATCAGCTGGGGTCGGAGGATGGCGCTGCATCGACGATGCATCGGCGATGCGGCTCGATGTGGAGCCCAATTTTCTTCACGCCAGCGGCGCCGATGCATCGGCAACACAGATGTCGGCGACGCGGTCCCCATCTAGGAGGTTTGTCCAGGGAGATTGCCCGTTCAGGCCTCGGGAGGCCAGGGCGCTGGTCAAGGCGGTGCAGCGTCTCGCGGCGAGCCCTCGCGGCATCTGCGGCAGATAGCTCGTCTTAGTCTTAGTTCGGTATTGTCTCATCTCCCTTCTTTTTTCGAGCTCCCTCACAATGACGAGTCAAAGGAGGCTGGCATATTTCAGTTGGGTTGGGCTGGCCTCGCGTCGAAGAGCTTCTCACACATGCCGACTGGGTCGGCAGATTCTTAGGCGCTCCACGGTCGCTCCGCTTCAAGAACCCCCCCTTCTCTTCCCACCTCTGTGAACATCCAGCCAGGATTGCTCGGGAATGTGTTCGGGATATCAGAGTTTGGAGGCACGCCTTCAGGCTTCTTATCCACATGGCAAACTTGACCAGAGCCAGGCTAGAGTCACTGCTGCTGAACATGGAACCGTTGCCCTGGAGGTTTCAGAACGGTGTGAGTTGTGGGACCGCAAAGTGATGCCACCAATGGATTATGTACCCTTGGCCGTGAGGCTCTATAGGATCGCTGGAATCATCAAGCTAAACAGTCGTTTTCCCTACTGCCATCTTCGATTACTCACGTGCTTTTCGGCCTCCCGCTTCTCCTTAGCCCAAGGGATCTGGGAGTTACAAGGCATGTTTTTGTTGCTTCTTAGCCTCTGGCCTAGACGCGTCCAAAGTTTCGCTGGAATCATCGCCGCCGAAAAAAGGGACAGTGGCTCATGATTTTGGACTCTTGGTGTCCTCTTTGGGGTTGTTCTTGGGGCTTCTTGCGAGCCTCTCGGGAGCCTGTTCTTGCTTCTCTGGGGCTTCGTGGGCGCGTCTTGGGGTCTTCAGGGGCCCTCTTGGAGTGGAAGGCTCGAATTGTCAGTTCGCGTTCTCCCTGTAGGGCCCGTCTTAGGCCCCTCTTGGGCCTTCTTCGGGGGGCCCTCTTGGGGCCCTCTTGGGTTGTCTTGGGGCGCTCTTGGGATCCTCTTGTGCCCTCTTGGGGCGATCTTGGCGGCGTCTCGGGCCGGTTTGGAGTGTCGGAAGCCGGACACAGCGAGAACGCGAAACACATATTGAAAAACCAATGTTTGTCGCGCCTCTTGGCCCTCGCGGCCGTCCCCTGAGAGCTCTCTGAGCGGTCTTGGAGGCCTTGTCGATCATGTTGAGGCCAGAGTGAGTCGGCTTGGGTGGAGATGGACCGTACAGGAGCGCGTGGAAGCGGTAGATGCATCGTCTGGAGCCATTGAGAGTTCTGGGGCCATTTGGGAGACCCCAAACAGCTCCAAAGAGCCCATGAGACTTTCCTGGGGGGGTTGTTTCGGGCCCAGTGGGGGGGTCTAATTCGTAGTTCGGAGTCCCTGGGATGGGATTTTTCGGGAGGGACATCTCACACGCCTTCAGACCCGCCAGGGGTCGGCGGATTTTAGCACGCCTCTTGCCCGTTGGGCCAGCGAATGTATAGTCGGAATTTACGCTTGGAGGAAAACTCGAACCAAGCCCAGATTTGGTCAGAGTTTCTTGGTGAGTCTGTTTCGAGTTTCGTGCTGTGTCCAGTAATCACCCCCTGCTTGGTCTGGTTAGCGACTCCCTGCCTCTTCAGGCGGCCGAGGCTCGTAGGAGTAGGATGTCGATGCAGCTGCCCGCTTCCCGTCGCCACGGCTGGAGGGGCCTCCAACTGCAGTTCAGAACGCGCCCCGGCAGAGGCCTAAGGAGTTGCGGTATCGGTATGAAGGTCGGCGGCGAGCCTGGGGGGGGGGGGGGAAGTGACTGAAGGGGCGGGCCTTCTCGGAAGCCCCCTGGCCTTCGGAAAGGTCTTCTGAGCCTCCCCCGCAGACAGGGAACACCCCTCAGGGGGCGCGAGGGCTTCTGAGAGTCCCGCCGCCGTCTGAGAAGGCCCTCTCCCTCTCGCTCCCCGCCCCTCGCTCGCCGCCGAGATCTTCTTCGGCGCTGTCCTGCGTCCGCGCTGGGCCCGGGCGCTGTTCAACACGGGGCGGCCAGGGCCGCTCTCCCTCCCCGACCTCTCGTCCGTGGGCGTCCGCCCCCCGTGTCCGTGCGGGTGCCTTCTCCGCCATCCCCTCCTCCTCCTCCCCCTCCTTCCCTCCTCCTCCTCCTCCCTCCTCCTCCTCCTCCTCCTCCTCCTCCTCCTCCTTATCTTCCACCTCCTCTTCCACCTCCTTCTCCTCCTCGCCGCCGAGAGGGGTCGGGGAGTCTCGAGGAAGCCTTTGTACGGTCGGACCGGGCACACAAAGATCGAATATCGAGGGCGGTTCGGGGAGGGCACCTCCCTGTTCTTCGTGCTTGTTGGATGCCATTGTGCATACTGGGGAGGATACCCTTGGATACTCTGTGCTTTTTGGCTGGCCAGGGGTCTCGTGTTCCTGAGGGGTGTTCTCCTGTCATGGGTCCGACTGTATTGTGAATGTTCTTCAGTCTGGCTGGCGGAGGGTCTCATGTTCTTGACGGATGTCCTTCTGCCCTAGGTCCGACCGTAGAAGCCAGGGGGGCGTCCGAGAGTCTCGGAGGCCCCCTGGGCGCTCTTCAAAGCCATCCCGGCCTCTTCGAGGGCCGTCCCCCCTCGCGCCACCCCGCGGGGTGCGCGCCGCCCACAGGAGGGCGAGGCGTTGATCCAGCTGGTGGGCGAAGCCAGGCTGCCAGTCTTCTCGTTGTCTCGTCATGGCTACCTTTCCTGCACCCTCTCCCTCTCCCTCTCTCTCCCTCTCTCTTTCCCTCTCCCTCTTTCTCTCTCTCTCTCTCCCTCTCCCTCTCCTCTTTCCCTCGCTCTCTCTCTCTCTCTCTCTCTCCCTCTTCCTCTCTCTCCCTCTCCTTATCCCTCTCTCTCCCTCTCCCTCTCTCTCTCTCTCGCTCCTGATCTCTCTCTCTCTCTTTCTCTCTCTCTCTCTCTCTTTGTCTCTTACTATCTCCCGCCCGTGCGCTTGCTATCTGACCTCGTGGAGATCAGGGTGGAATGTGAAGCGTAAATGCACGTGCCCAATGCATCTTCGTCCTCCTTCTCCTCGTCGTCACGTGAAGTACCATTCCCGAACAGCGGTTCGCCCGACGAGTTCGAGCAATGGACAAATCTCATCTCCACGGGGTCGTTTCTGGCGGGTCGCCTGCTCCGGTGCCTTTCGTGCGTGGCGCCCGCTCGGGGACAGTGCCCCACTCGTTCGTCTGCCTCTTCCCCGTATCCCCTCCGCACTCCCCCCTCTCCCTTCCTCAACGGGGGGGCTGCTGGGGCCTGCCGGAGGCGCTCGTGAAGGGCGGAGTCCCTAGGGTTTTCTTGCGAAGGCCTTCGGGCTAGTGCCGCCGACCCTGAAGGGGAACGACGACAACGGCGGCGGCGGCGACGACAACGACGCTGACGTGGGTCAGAGTCCTCATGGATGCTTCTTGGGGTCTCTTCGAAGCGCTCTCGGGCGCCTCTTTGGGGCCTCTTGGGAGCCGCTCGGGGGCCTCTCGGGGCTTCCTGGGGCCCCCTCTTGGGGCCTCTTGTTGGCCTCTCGTTGGCCTCTTGTTTCCCCTCGGGAGCCTCTCGGGGCCGAGGGCTCGAACTGTCCGTTCTGGTCCCTCGTCTGGGCACCTTCTTGGAGCCGTCTTGGGGGCCTCTAGGGCCGTCTTGGAGGCGTCTTGGGCCTTCCTGGGGTCCCTCCTGGAGCCCTCGTGGGCCGTCTTGGAGCGATCTGGGGGGCCTCTTGGCGTCTTGGGTCGTCCTGGAGGCGAGAACGCCGAAATGCATCAAAAACCAATGGGAAATCAGAGTTTGTTCCTCTTGGGGCCCTCTTGGGAGTGCTCCTGGAGGTCTCTTGAGGCGTCCTGCAGGGCTCTTGGGCCGTCTGGAGGCCTCCAAGGCGTCTTGGACAGATCGTTCGGCGTTTCGGGGCCCTCTTGGACCGTCTTGGGGGCCTCTTGGGGCACTCTTGGCCCGGTTTGGGGCCTTTTTTGGGCCCCGGGACCTCCCGGGGGGGGGGGTCATATTTGACCTGGGACTCCCCCTGGGACCCCCTCCGCGACCCCCTCCGAGACCCCCCCCATCCTGGCGGGGCAGGCGCGCTTGAGGAAGAGGGCCTGGGAAAGGGTGAGGGGGTGCGGCGACGTGCCCAGCGCTCGAGGAGGAGGGCCCAGGGAAAGGGGGGGAAGCGGCGACGGGCCCAGGGAAAGGGGGGCGCAGGGAAAGGGGATGACAGAGACGACGACGAACAAATGACGGAGACGACGACTCGAGCGGACAAGCCCTTCACATACGCCGACAGGGTCGGCGGATTTTTGCTCTGCGTCGAGCCTGAGGGCGGCCCACGCCTCTGGCCACAGGCCGCCCTGCATTTTTGGCTCCTTGGTTGCCACGGAGCTGTCTGCGCCAACGTCGCGAATCTTGCTACGGTCAAAACTCATAGCACGGACGCACAGAAGTCCTTATGGGTACCCTTGCGTCCTTGCCTCTGCGGCCCGTCCTTCGTGGTTTTCCATGGCCAGCCCTTCGGGGTGTTGACACTCCGTCCCGTCCTTCCTATAGATTTCGATTGCACTCCTCCCCGATTCAGCTTTTGGTGCCCTGCTGGGAGAACGAGAACTGAGACCCCTCGTCCTGCAGACGTCCTCAACACTGGGGGTCCTGGCCCTTTTTTTCGCTCGAGAAGTGGAGCGGTCGGTCGACCCTGGAGACGAGACGGAGTCTGCTTGCGATCCTCGGCCTGAGGAAGAAGAGCGGGATGGGACGGCACAAGTCAGGGTCCCCGCAAGGGTAGGACTGGCTTGGGGGGGGGGGGGGCATCGATCCCCAATCGCTCATTCATCGGTGATCGGGGCCTGGGTGCTTCGACTTGCCCAGGAACGTGGGATGGTCCCATCGGCGGCCTGTCGCCGATCTGTTGGCGATGTGTCGTCGTTTTCAGGTCGTTGTTTCCCCTTCTGGGCCGGCCCCCCTTTCTGCTTCCCTGAACAATGCGATTAGGGGTGGGAAGGGAACGAAGGTCCTTCTCCTCGTTTCTTTGCTTTCGTCTCCCTTCCCCTCTTGCACGGCTGGTGCGTGCCTGCATGCCAGCGGTCAATTGTCAAGGAACATTGATTAATGGCGTGCTCCACGGCGAAGAAAACAAACAAGCTCTTCGTTCCTCGTTCCTCGATTTTCGGCCTGCGGGGGTCCTCCGAGGCCCCAGGAGCTCTCGACGCTTCCCCCAAGACCGGCTCTGGGTAGTTTGTTCAAAACCAGCTTTGGTCGGTTACAGCTCGCACGAGCGTTACAACGCACACTTAGCTGTGTGGGATGCCCGCGTGTCATTCGTGTTTGGGCTCTCCACCTTGGAATGCTCTGATTTTCTTCCCACCCGCATCGCACCCATGTTCACGCCCATCTCCCCCATTCGTTCTCCTTCTGCCCCGCACACGCATACACACTCGCACATACACGCAGACACATTCATACATCACCGCACACATGTATCAAGCACGCGCACACATACATCTTCACGCGCATCCGCATACCAACGCACACAGCACACACAAACCAGAGAGCCGTACACTGTTATCAGAAATATGCAGTACACACGCACACATGACAACGCTAGTCGGCATCTAACGCAGACACATCATGCACACACAGCGCACACAAACGCAGGCATAGTCACGACACATGCATACGTATACACATCTGACACATACACAAAGCATGCAGGGTGTGACAGGCGTAGAGGGTGCGCAGGGGATGGTTCCTGAACACCGTCTCTATCCGCTTCAGGCTCGCAGGGCCTGGCAAGCGTAGCATTTCCTCGACACCGCAGCGGGTGCGCAGCAGGTGTTCCCTGAGTGCGGCCACAATCTGTTTCAGGTTCGCAAGGCGCAGCAGGCAAGGCATCTTCCCGTCCGTCACCGCAAGGGGGTGTGCGGTGGATATCCCTGAGTGAGCGCGGTCTGTATCCGTTTCAGGCTCGTAAGGCGTGGCAGGCATGGCACTTTCTCGACACCACAAGGGGTGCGCAGGGGGTAGTCCCTGAATACGGTCTATACTCGCTTCAGGCTCGCAGGGCGCGGTAGGCGTATTGTTTCTTGGGCAACAGAAGTTCCGCAGAGGCGGGCCCCCCATTCGCGCCAGGCTCGCCGGGCGTGGCAGGCGTGCCATTTTCTCATCACTAGAGGGGGTACGCACGGGGGTACGACTCTATCCGCTTCAGGCTCGCGTATCATGGATCTATGTAAACACACTGGCGCAAACCAGCTCAGCACGCCTGCGTTTGCACGCAGGCGTGCTGCATTCCCAAACGCAGATAGCAAACGCCCCGGGCTGCGCATGGCAGTCATGCCGCCCAGAAATTGTGCCATGGACGCCCTGCCATTCTCCGTGCTTCACGATAAAAGCCGCAATGACTGATTGGCGGCGAGGTCAGTGAGAGAAACTCGCGCAGATGCGCAAACGGAATTGTGGTGTCCGTATGGAATGCGCACTGATGCCAGCTTAACAGGGTAACTCGCGTGGCACTTCCTCGACGCCGCAGCGGGGGCGCAAGGGGTGAGGGCGCTACGCGGGCCCGTGCCACAGGACGTGCCATGCGTCGCACTTTCTCGACCGTAGAAGGTTTCCAGAGCAGTCGACCTTGTCTTGGGCTGGGTCTCGCACGGAGTTCTCGACTCCATCGCGGGGGGCGTCTGCCGCCAGGTGTGCGGGCGAGGATTTGTGACCCACTTCGCTCATCCCAAGTTTTCCTCGCTCCTTCCTAATTTACCGCCTTCGACGCCAGGCGGGATGCGCGTGGGATCATTCCTCAATCCCATCCGCAACGTAATAATTGCAGCACCGCGCCGTATGTCGTCTAAGTGTTTTGTGTTCCTCGGTCGCGTAATTCTGTTTGGGGGTATTCCCGTGGGGCTTCGAGCATTCGGCGGATTCGCGCGTTCTTATCTGGCGCTCGTATGGCCACGTTTCGATTGCATCTTTTGATGAATAGTGCTTGCTGGTTCTCATCTTCGCAGTTGTTGTGTCCCCTTCTCCCTCCTGCTTCATGCCTTTTCCTTGCCTCTTACCTTTCGCGACTGTCGCCGCGTCTGTGGGAGGTCCAGTGTGGTTGCGTCCTACGCGGGTCCAAACGGAATTTCGCCCTCCCTTGGTGCTACCGAATGCGCACCTGTCGCCAAGCTTGAATCCTTGGAGGTCAGCGGTGAGACGTCCTCCACGGGTCCCAACCTGACCTCGCCCTCCTTTGGTGTTGCCAAGTGTGCACCCGTCACCACGTTCGTGGGTTCCTGGGAAATTCCAGCGGGGTGGCGGCCTCAGTGTGTCCAAACCGGATTCGGCCCCCCTTTGGTGCTGCCAGTCGGAGCGTCCACGGCATGCCAGGGCCACACCTTGCCCGAGGGGTAATCGCCGATGTCGGTCACGAGGGCGCCAGCGACGTGGACGGGCTTTGTTTGCATTTTGACGTCATGTTTTCGCGGTTTGTCTCTCGGGACCCGCCCGCGGATTTTGCGGCGCGCCTGTGTTTTGCTGAAGCAAAGGCACGGGACAATGTAGGACAGATGCCGGAAGTTGGTTGGCCGTTCGTGAGGTTCTTACGGAAGTGGGCTAAATCAGCTGCCGTTGCTGCTGCCAAGCGATTTATTTTTTTCCGCGTTTCACGTCCCAGCGTGGGAACGCGCAGGGATGCGACCCATGAGTTTTCCCACGAAGTGGCGCAAGGTCGGGGCCGCGACTTTGGGTGCGAGCCCCAGCCCAGGATCGCTTCTGCGTGAGCGGCGTGTGCTGGACCAACAAAAACCAACAAACACCCCCGTCGTCGGCCGAATGTCATTCCCCGTCGCCCTTCGCGCCGTCTTGCGGTTTCCATGAACATCCGGTATCGATGCTTTGTCTCTTTCTCATTTTCTTTGTCGTTATCGTTGGCGCCGTTCTTTTCCTCCCTTTTCATTTATTCTCCCTTGGTGTCTCATCATGGCACGCCTCGCGGGGTGCGCAGCGCATATATCTCCAATGCAACAAAAACACAACAGAGGCACGCGATGTCAAATGTTCATTCGTTCTGGAAAGGGCCCGTTGGTCTTGTCCCGTGTGCAGATGGGTTCTGTCTGTCCCTGGGTGATTTCGTTTGTTTTCCTGGATCCCACAACAACCGTTGGAGAGCTTCGGCTCGAAGGTCCGGAGGAAGGTCGGGGGCATGGTTTTGAACGGATTCTGGTCGGGGGAGAGGAGGGCAGAAGTCGAGCAACGCTCTGGGGAGGTATTGAGCAGGATGGGTTTCATCCAGGCGATTCGCGTTACAGGTTGTTGTTGCTTGTGGGCTAGGGGCCGTGGAGTAACGGCACAGTGTGGAAAACCGGAAACCGGTACAGAGGATTGGGTCGAGAGGTCCGTGGGCCGGCGGCTCGAGGAAATCTGCATTCGGAGGTTTGGGGCCTCCCAGCCCAACCTCCGACGTCGTGTCTTCTCTCGTATGCGGTGGCCCTGAGCTCTCGACAGTTTTTCCCAGGGCTGGTTTTTCATTGCACATTGTTTGCTGACGGCCCTGGGCTCGGAATCAGCCCTTCATTTCGGAATTAACAACAACAGTTATCGGCACGTTTTGTGTTTGTTTCTGACGGTCTGTGGGTGTCGCTGGAGTTTCACCCCGTGGGGTCCGTGGAACTCCCCGGTGATTTCTGGAGGCCTTCGGAAGTTTCAAAAGCTCCATTGCCGTCCCTCATAGGGGCACGTCGAACGGATCCATTTCCTTTTCCTCTCGTCACTGCTCCCCTCCATCGTCACATCATCATATTACATAGTTTACCTCATGTGTCCATCGCCCCCTCGTCCGAGTGCCGCCGCGCATCTTGCAGCATCGTTTGTGTCTGTAACCCTTTCGCTCAAGCTTTTTCCCGGACCAGGATCCGAGCAGTGCATGGCAGGGCTGCTGCCGGGCGCCCTGGGTGGGCTGGCGCAGGTGGGCGGGCAGGCGAGCCTCCTCTGGCTCTCGCGCTGCCCGTCGGTGCCTGCCTGCCCACCTTGCCCCCAGTGCCCCGCGTGCCCTGGGGCCCCAGCCAACCCGCCATCGCCGTCGGCGCCAAGCGGGCTGGGGCTGTGGGATTGGATTCTCGTCGCGGGCTGCTTCTTCGTGACTGGACTTGCTTTGGGTACGTGGCTGACGCCGACGAGACTCGTGGTCCAGACGGAGCCAAGGGATGGAGCTCAGCCGTCGGCTGAGAGCGTGGGCGCTCGTGCTGTACAGCGACGCGGCCCCGTCTCGATTATGGCACCAACGCCGAGTGTTGGGAGTCGTGGTGTCGTCGGAGATTAATGTGCTAGTGTGTACACCCGACGACGACGTGTATAGTGAAGAGTTACTGGATCTAGGCAACCAGCAGGTTGTGACGGCTGTGCGGTTCTCCGATCGTCGCTGGCCCCCTCCAAGAGGAGCTCCGTGGGCGGAATGCTACCGCTTTCGGGCTGACCTGTGGGCGGCCGACCTGGCGGCGCGCGAGGCCGAGGCCGTGGCTCCTGCGAGCGAGATCTACGTTGCGCGTGAAAGACCCAACGGTCGCCCTGCGGTGCCGCCCCCAGGAGGAGCCCTGAAGTTGTTGGCGGGAGTCATGGCCGAAGGTGCTGCCGCTCCCGCGGGACCACCACCTGCGCGAGAGGCCGAGGAGGCTGGCGTGGGGGTCCCAGCGGGGGCTGAATCTCGGATTCTGGACCTGCAGATGATCGAGGTACCCGAGGGCTCCCCCGCCGCACGCCGTAGGCGACCGTGGCGGGACGTAGCCATGATGTTTTCGGTTGTGCAGTTCAGGGATTGGCCAATCCCTGGCCCAAGGACCGTGGCCTGGTGTGCTGCCTACATCAATCGGCGGGGGGGCGGACCGTCAGATCACCATCAGTTCTTTAGGCAGGTGTACGGTCTCACAAAGACCGACTGGGGCGACGACGCCCATGGCGTGATCTTGAGGATGTTGGAGGAGGCGGGATGCCACGACGGGCTCGACGTGACGAATGCCGCCGCCCTCGAGGTGGCGATGCGCCATGCTCAGCTCGTGGAGTATGTCTACGCCCAGGTCGCCGCGGGCAGCGGCAAGGGCAAGAGCAAGCAGAGCAAGGGCAGCGGGCTCCAGGATCGGATCGGGCTGGTCGACGAGGCCTCCGTGTTCCTGGGCGCCCATCGCGACGCGGGCGAGGCCATGATCGCCCCCGACTTCCTCGACGATGTGGCGAAGGAGGTGGAGAGGGACGCGTCGGTGACGAAGCAGGTGAGGAAGGCGCGAGAGGAGCGCCGCATGCTCGCCGCACATCAGCAGCCAGGCTGGGCTTCGAAGGGCCGACAGGAGCAGGGGTGATGTGGCCAGGCCGGGCGGCGGATGACTCCGACCGCCGTCCGGCGCCTTTCAGGGTTTTTTCGAGACGCGCTCGCGGCGATGGCCGCATGCGCGACACCCTGCCCATCCCTCTCGAGGCCTTCGCTGTAGAGAAGGATTGGGATTCGTGCCACTTATTCGATCAGTGCTTCGGCGAGTTCAGCGTCGTGCCCACTTGCAGTCGGGAGCGGCGGCGACCATCGCCGCCCCCGACCACCTCTACTGCGGCGTCTCCGAGCCGAGAGAGGATCGCCCCCCCGTCTGACGGCCGCCCAGGCCGAAAGCGCGTCTCGGGCCCGCGAGGCCTGGTCGCAGCTCGGCCCGCCGGCGTCCGACATGGAGCCCTCAGGAGCCTTGGATGAGCTTCGAGGTTCGCGGCGATGCGGCCGCGTGTCTACGCCGCCTTCCTCCGGCGGGCCGAGGCGGCGGGGCTCGTCGAGTGCCGGCGCTCGGCGGAGACGGAGGCGGGGGCGTTCTCGGCCTGACAGAAGTCGGGAGAGCAGAGAGTGATTATAGATGCGAGGATCGCGAACTGCGTGTTCGACGTGCCCGACTCCATGGAGCTCGCCGCGGGGCAGGCCATCAGCACCGCGCGCGCGGACGAGGGGCCGCCCATCATCGTCCCGGGGGTGGGCGTCCAGGTCGCCTCCCACGCGATGCTGCTGCCCCGTGACCTCCGCGCGCACTTTGGCCTTGCCCCCGTTCGAGCTGGCATGGTGAACGTGACCTGCGTCGACGGCGTGGCCGTGGGCGCGCAGGGCCGCATCGTGCCCGTGCTGAGGGTGCTGCCGATGGGCTGGGCGCAGGCACTCTGGGCTTGCCAGACGCTGCACGATGCCATCATCGACCGCTCGACGAAGATGGGAGCTGACGATCGGCTTCGAGACTCCGCGCCCCCGCCCCCGCTGGCCCCAGGCCCGCGCGCGGAGCACGTGGACAACTTCGTCGCGCTGAGCCAGGACGCGGAGGAGGTGGGGGGCCGCGTGCTGTCGGCCACCCAGGCGCTGCAGGATGCCGGGCTGCCCGCGCACCCTCCGAACTGGGGCGCGGGGGGCGAGGCGCTGGGCTGGCGTTTCTCCGAGCTCGAGGCCGCCGTGGAGGTGGCCCCTCGGTCCGCCTGGCGCCCGCGGCTGGGCCTGCTCGCCCTGGCCGACAGGGGGTTTGTCGGCGGTCGGGGGCTGTCGAGCGTGATCGGCCACTGCATTTTTCGAGCCCTTATTCGCAGGGAGCTCCTCAGCGCCCTCTCGGCGAGCTGCGCGTGCGTCGAGGTTTTCGGGGGGGGGGTCAGGCCAGCTCTAGGACAGCGTGCGGCAGGAGCTGCGCCTGGCAGCCGCGCTGGCGCCCAGAGCCCGACGGCAGCTAGGAGCCCGCTGGGACTCACGGCCCACCGCGCTCGATGCCTCCGCGCGGGGCAGAGGCGCCATGCAGAAGCGCGTGCCGGAGGAGTGGCTGGCGAGGGCCTCGGTGTTCAACGAGCGGCGGCGCTTCGCGCGCTCCGAGGAGGGCGCGGTCGCCGCCCGCGGAGATCTGGAAGTCCCAGATCTCGGAGCTTGTCGGCGCCGTGCCCCACCCGTGCCTCGATCTATGTGGGGAGGTGTCTGGAAAAGAGTGTCATCGTCGTCCTGGGATCGTCAGGGACCTCAGGTCGTCTTGGAGGGCAGAGCGGGGGCGCGGGCCTTGAAACGCAGATTGCGGGGTCGGAAGTCCATCGGAAAGCGCCGCGCGATGTTGTCTGACGCCATGTCCTTCGCCCTTGCCGCCTCCAAGAGCCGCCCCTCGGCTCAAGGCGCGGGCCCCGTGATGCGGCAGTGGGCCGCGCTCTGTTTGATCGGTTCCGTGTCTATCTGCCTTCGATGGGCGCCCTCCGAGAGAACGCGGCCGACGACAGCTCCAGAGGCGGGCCGCTGTGCAGTGCTGAGGCCGACCGTGGGCCCGCAGGGCGGGATGCTGCCGCGGCCGCTCGACGCCGCGAAGACGGTCCTGGGCGCGGCGACGAAGCCCTCGAGCCAGACCGCCCTGCCGACGGTGTCGCTGCTGAGTCGGCCGACCTTGCCGATCGCCAGGGCACGGGTCTCGGCGTCGAGGCAGGGACTGCGGCGGCTGGGGCCGACTGCGGGCCCCTCGGCTGCGCGCCAGTTGCGCCGCGGCGCGGGCGCGGGGGCGGCCCCCCGGCCACCCGGGGCAACGAGGCGCCGCCCGCTGGGCCGGGGGGCCGCGTCGGCCGGGCTGGGGCCGGACGCGCTGGAGCTTGGGAAGAGGCGGAGGCTGGAGAGGTACGGCAGCCAGAGGACGGACGTCGACGCCCCGATGAGTTTCTTGGAGCGCCGCGCCGTGCGCCCTCGCACGGAGGCCAACTACCGCAACCGCGCGGCCACCTTCGAGCGCTGGGCCCTGGCGTTCAGGGCGCCGCTGGGGGCCCGCAACCGCGCTCGACGCCGCCGCGGTGGCCTGGATGAACGAGCAGTTCTTCGAGGGCACCGGGTTGGCGAGCGGCAGCTGCCCCCCGGCGGCCCTGGGGCGTCTTCGACCGGGGCTGGCGCGCGGGGCGCCCGAGCTGGTGCGGAGCCACGCCGCCAAAAGAGGATGGCGGCTGCTGGCCCAGACCAAGTCTCGGTTGCCGATCCCGCTCCCAGTGGCCGCCCTCATGGCCAACGCGCTGGCGCTCGGGGGGAAGCTGCAGATGGCGTCGGCGGTGATGGTGGCCTTCGCGTTCATTCTCAGGCCCGCCGAGGCGATGCGCATCCGAGTCCAGAGCGTGGCGCCGCCGCCCCGAGAGGGCTGGGCAGGTCGCAGCCGCTGCTCCTTGGTGCTTCACCCGCTCGAGCACGGAGTGAGCTCAAAGACGGGAACGCGCGACGAGTCGCCGGTGCTCGACAACCCCGAGTTCGCCTGTCTGGGGAACGTGCTGGACCTCCTCAGGCGGGAGGCCAAGGGGGGCTACCTGTTCGCGTTCAATTACGCCGACTGGGTCCAGAGCTTCGCCGACGTGGGGCGACGGCTGCGGCTCGGGTACCTGGGCCCACCCGTGCTGTGCCAATTCAGGCACGGGGGGGCGTCGCACGAGGCGCTCACCGGGTTCGGTGGCGCAGCGGGCTGAAGCAGCGGGGGCGCTGGATCAGCGACTCGTCCGTCCTCGGGTGCGCCAAGGGGTGCCGAGCCAACCAGGTGCTGGCCTCCCTCGGCGCAGCCCTGCGGAGGCACGGCGCCGACTGCGAGGCCAGATTTGGTCGCCTCCTCTTGAGGCGATCGCCGCCGCTGCCGCCGCCGGGCGCGGCGGCATAGCCCTGGAGGTTTTCTCGGGCTCAGGCCGCTTCTCTCACAGCTGGCGGAGACGCCCTCGGCTGGCAGGCGTGCCCATCCATGAGATCGACATCCGCCATCACCTGTCGCGCGACCTCGCGTTGCGCAGGGGCCAGCGGATCATCCGAGGTCTTGTCCAGCGCGGCCTGGTGCTAGCCATCTGGCTCGGGGTGCCCTTCAATGCTTTCTCACGGGCGCGAGAGTCGGGCCCCCCTGGGCCACCGCCCTTGCGGCCCGCCGAGTTCCCAGCAGGGCTCCCCGACTTGCAGCCGCGCGATCGGCAGAAGCTGGAAATGGGCAACGCGTCGGCCACCTTCGCTGCCCGCCTGATGGCGGAGTGTCGGCGAAGGAATGCCCCAGTCGTGCTCGAGAATCCATGGGCGAGTCAGCTTTTCCAGCAACCCTGCTTCTTGAGGCTCCCACAGGCCGAGCTGCGGACAGCTGTCGCTGACTACCGCCAGGACGGAACCCGCTGGAGGAAGCGGACACAGTTCTGGGGTTATTATATTGACTTGAGCTGCGTAGGGCGTCTTTGCTGTGGCCGTGGTACAACTGCTCTCGCACGCATTAGCCACATGTGACTTTGCATGGGAAACAGACTGGGGCTGTCCTTTCTGCTGCCGCCGAACCATACCCCAGGCCGCTGTGCAACTGTCTTGCCCAGGCGTTCGCCGACGCCCTTGTTGTCAGGAAAATGAAAGACCTTTCCTGCGTTTTGGACTCGGCTTGACAGCCAGGAATCAGTTTGGACATGCGAACCTGACATTAGTGTTGGAGAGCTGGGCTCAGAGAGAGAGAGAGAGAGAGAAATATAGAGAGAGAGAGAGAGAGTTGTTCTTCGAAGGGCGCTCGCTGCTATCGGCGGCAAGCGCCCCTTGCCCTGTCTCGCCGCCTCTGCAGAGCGTGCCCCCAGATGTCCGACCCAGAGGGGCACTGAAAGAAGGTTGTCTTGGGTCTTGGGCATCGTCCAGGCTGGCGGCACGGAGAGAGGGGAGAGCGTGGGCTGTTACATAGTTTACCGCATGAATCCATCGCCCCCTCGTCCGAGTGCCGCCGCGCATCGTGCAGCATCGCTTGTGTCTGCAACCTTTTCGCTCAAGCTTCCCACTGGCTTCGACTGCGTCTGCCCCCCCCCCTAGACCTCCCGCTCGGTCTGCAGGTTCGCGCTGGAGAGCTGGGCCCAGAGAGACAGAGAGAGAGAGAGAGAGTTTTTCTTCGAAGGGCGCTCGCTGCTATCGACGGCAAGCGCCCCGTGGCCTGTTTCGCCGCCCGTGCAGAGCGTGCCCCCAGATGTCCGACCCAGAGGGGCACTGAAAGAAGGCTGTCTTGGGTCTTGGGCATCGTCCAGGCTGGCGGCACGGAGAGAGGGGAGAGCGTGGGACCATCAACAGCATCATCATCATCATCGTCAGCATCATCAACATAATCATCCTCAGCATGGGCATTATGAACATGACCTTCATCATCACCACCATCATCATCAGCAGCAGCATCATCCTCAGTACCAGCATCATCATCATAATCGCCATCATCATAATCATCATCATCCTCGTCGTCGTTATCGTCGTTATCATCAGAAAGAGAGCGTGTTCCACCGCTCCCGGCGGGAAACCAGGGGGGGAGGGTCACTGGGAGGTCCCAACGCGTCCCCCCCTCCCTCCGCTTCGAAAACCGGTGGGGGTCACCAGTTCGAACCATCCCCTCCCCCCCTCCCCCCAGTCCATTATGAAAAGGAGGGGGGTCACTACCGGTTCGAACCCCCCCCCCTCGCCGCGGGCAAACGATTTCCGCTCCTCGGGACGGACAGTGGGACAGTGGTGGGGACGGTGGTGGTGGGGATAGTGGTGCGGGGACAGTGGGACGAGGACAATGGCGAGGGGACAGCGGGACAGTGGCGGGGACCGGGGGGACAGTGGGACACTGGTGGGGATGGTAGTGGTGGGGACAGTGGTGAAGGCGGTGGTGAGGACGGTGGTGGGACAGCAGGACAGTGGGGAGAATGGTGGGGACAGTGGGGACAGTGGGGCAGTGGTGGGGAGAGTGAAGACAGAGGGACAGCACAGTGGGACAGCGGCGGGGACAGGGGGTACAGTGGGATAGTGGTGGGAACAGTGGAGACAGTGGCAGTGGGACAGTGGTGGGGACAGCGGGGACAATGGGGAGTGCGGGACCGTGGTGGGACAATGGTGGGGACAGTGGGGACAGTGAGACACTGGTGGGAGCACTGGTGGGGACAGCGGGGACAATGGTGGGAACAGTGGGGACATTGGGACAGTGGTGGGGACTGTTGGACAGTGGTGGGGACGGTGGTGGTGGGACAGTGGTGTGGGGACAGCGGTGTGGGGACAGTGGGACAGTGGTGGGGACAGTGGGACAGTGGTGCGGACTGGCGGTGGGGACAGTGGTGAGGGCGGTGGCGAGGACGGTAGTGGGACAATGGGACAGAGGTACAGTGGGGACAGTTGCGGGGACAGTGGGGACAGTGGTGGGAACACTGGGACAGCTCAGTGGGACAGCGGCGGGGACGGTGGGACAGTGGGACAGTGGGGACAGTGGGACAGTGGGGACCGTGGGGAAAGTGGGGAGACGGGGACCGTGTTGGGAACAGTGGTGGGGACAGTGGGGACAGTGGGGACAGTGCGACAGTGGTGGGGGCACGGGTGGGGAGAGTGGGGACGGTGGTGGGAACAGTGGGGACAGTGGTGGTGGGGACGGTGTGCTGGGGACAGCGGTGGGGGATGTGGTGCGGACGGTGGGGGGGACCCGGGAGTCGTTTGCCGGCGGTGAGTGGGGGTGGGGTTCGAACCGGTAGTGACCACCCAAGGGGGGGGGGTCGAACCGGTAGTGACCCCCAGTTTTCTGGTGGGGGGGGGTCGAACCGGTAGTGACCCCCCCCGGGAAGGGGGCTTTTCCAAGGGGGGGTGACCCCGAGGTTCTGGAGGAAGGGGGGGGAATTTTCCGCAGTAACGCGGCGGTGGATCACGCTCTCTCCATCATCATCATCATCATCATCATCATCATCATCATCATCATCATCATCATCATCATCATCATCATCATCATCATCATCATCAGCATCAGCATCAGCATCAGCATCAGCATCATCATCATCATAATAATCATAATCTTGATCATCACCATCATCATCAGTATCATCATCATCATCATCATCATCATCATCATCATCATCATCATCATTGTCATCATATCATCATCATCATCTTCGTCGTCATCGGCAATATGATCACCACCGTCACCATCATCATCGTCATCATCATCAGCATCATCGTCAGCAACCGCATCACCATTATCATCATCACCACCGCTATTATCATCGTCATCATCACCGTCACCATCACCATCACCATCACCATCAAAATCATCACACCATCACCATCACCATCACCATCACCATCACCATCACCATCACCATCACCATCATCGTCGTCGTCATCGTCATCGTCATCGTCATCGTCATCGTCATCGTCATCATCATCCTCATCATCATCATCATCATCATCATCATCATCATCATCGTCATCCTATGTTCCTTGTCTTTGCTGCGCGCAGCGGCAAATCTCCCACGGTTCGTTCTGTGTGGGATTTGTTGCGGGTCCAGTCGTGGTGTCGAGGGTGCCCTCCGAGGCCCCATTCGCACAAGCTTGCAAACACTTCAGCCTTTGATGCTCCATCCTCCTCCCACTCCACCTGTCGTCGCCCTCTCCGACTCCGGCTCCTCCCCTCCTCTGTTCCGCCTCTCATCTGTCCGACTCCGGCTTCCTTCACTCCGACGCCTGGCTCGGGCCTTGGGCCGCCCGCGCTGCCCTCGTAGGGCGGGTCCGTCGGTCGGACCGACCGTGCGCGCTCCGCTCTGCTCCGCTTTGCTCCGCTCCCTGTCGTCGTCGTCGCCGCCGCCGCCGCTGCCGCCGCCTTCTTCGTCGTCGTCGTCGTCGTTGTCCGCTCGCTCCCCCTGCTTCTCCTCCTCCTCCTCACTCCTCATCTTCCCT